ACTTCCCAAAGGTTATTCTTTCGATGTGAGACAACAAAAGGTTTTAATATTTGTCATTTCCAACAATCCCCCACGAATGACAACATAGTAAAAGTAATGAGTAAGAAGAAGAATGTAGTAACTGAGCAAAGGATAGATAACTTAAGCATTAATATCTTTCGATTTGAATTAATGCATAGTGAAGTAGAGCAACAACCTAAGTAATGAAAGTGAGTTACCTCTTGAACTTTCAGTATTAATAGTTGAGACCCCTACAACACGTGTGAATCCTCGATTTTGATTCCGCGATAGTTGTCAAGTGCTTTTAATGGCCATGCACATACACCTTGGGTCATCGTGAAAGCTCTAGAAAGAGACTCCTCAACTCTACTCTTTCATAGAAGGCGGCCTTACCTTCACAGTCACGTTTGTCGCTTCATCAAGTCTATCATAGATAAACCACTCAAAACTGAGCTATGAAGACTTTGAATATTATCCATCAAGTCCACGCATGGACCACCCAAAAAGGGCTATGGATTCATAGTGTTTCACCATATCCATCAAGTCCATTTATGGACCACCAAAAGAAGGGCTATGGATTCACATATGCTTCACTACATCCATCAAATCCATACATGGACCACCCAAGAGAAGGGCTATGGATTCATGCTAGTGTGAAAACATCATGACTTGAGTTCCATACATCCTGAGAACTCCAGAATTACTCTCCTTGTTTGGCCTTTAGTGAGGGGATCTGCTAAGTTCCTCTCGGACCTCACATACTCCAAGGATATAACTCCATCTTTCAGCAGCTGTTTCACAACTCCATGTCTTAGACGAATGTGACGTCTCTTACCATTGTACACACTGTTTTTTGCAATCCCTATGGCAGCTTGTGAGTCACAATGTATGGATACAGGTACAGACTTCCCCCACAGTGGCACATCTCCAAGAAGACTTCTCAGCCATTCAGCCTCTTGACCTGCCAGTTCACGTGCTATGAACTCAGATTCCATGGTAGAACGAGCAATACATGTCTATTTTGCTGATTTCCATGAGATAGCTCCACCGCCAAAAGTAAACACATACCCACTGGTGGAACTCACTTCATCATTATCTGTAACCCAGTTTGCATCACAATATCCTTCTAGCACAACAGGAAACTCGTTAAAATGCAAACAATAATCCATTGTACCCCTAAGATACCTTAGCAATCGATGTARAGCAGTCCARTGATYTTTWCCTRGRTTATGAGTGTATCTACTTARTCTACTCACCGCATATGCAATATCAGGTCTASTATAATTCATTAGAAACATAACACTACCTATAATCTTTGCATATTCGGATTGAGATACACTMTCGCCCTGATTCTTTTTAAGACTCATGYTRGCATCATAAGGTGTTCTTAMAGATAAACTATCAAAGTGATMAAATTTTTTCAGCATTCTCTCAATGTAGTGTGATTGACATAAGGAATATCCATGATCATTTTTCCTTATTTTTACACCAAGTATTACATCAGCCTCTCCTAAATCTTTCATTTCAAAATGYGAAGAAAKGAGKAACTTGGTCKCATTAATGATATCTAAGTTTGAACMAAAAATGAGCAYGTCATCAACATACAGGCATATTATCACACAATYAGCTYCAAAYAACTTTGAGTAAACACATGTATCAGAGCAATTTACTTTATAACCATTGTTTACSAAAGTGCCATTAAATTTTTCATACCATTGTTTAGGAGCTTGTTTTAGGCCATAGAGAGATTTTTTTAGCTTGCAAACTTTATTTTCTTGACCAGTAGCTAGAAAACCTTCAGGTTGTGTCATGTTAATCTCCTCTTCTAAATCACCATTGAGGAAAGCTTTTTTTACATCCATCTGATGTATTACTAAGCCTTGAATAGTAGCCAAAGCTATCAAAGATCTAATCGTAGCAATCTTAGTTACAGGAGAGTACGTATCGAAGTAATCAATGACATACTTTTGTGTGTAACCTACAACTACTAGTCTAGCTTTGTAGTTTTCTATCGTACCATCTGGTCTCATTTTTCTTTTAAAGATTCATTTACACTTAATAGGTTTGTTTCCTACAGGTAAATCTACCAATTCCGAGGTTTGATTCATAACTATCGAGTTTAGCTCACTTTTAATAGCTTCTTTCCATAGGCTAGAATCTACGGCATTTATAACTTCTTGGTAGGTTTTAGGATCTTCGTCTATCAAATACATGCAAGCGAACTGATCATCTATCTTGGCAAAGTTTTCTACCAGATAGGAAGTTAGAAAGTCAGGTCCAAAACTTTTACTAACCTTTTGCCTTTTACTTCTCATAGGTTTAAAATCTATTGTATCATTAGATCGACGTTCAGAGTCTAGCATATCAACAGAAGTGGAGGGCAACGATATGCATGCAGTTTTTGATGTCCCACCAGATTCACCATCAGTTCTAATCATAGGGAAGATATTTTCAAAAAATATAGCATCTCTATATTCACATATTGATTTGTCATTCAAGCTCATGAACTTATATCCAAAACTATTTTGAGCATAACCAATGAAAACACAATCAAAAGTTTTAGATCCAACCGTAGGTTTTTTGAATGTTGGATATGCCACCTTTGCTAAGCACCCCCACACCTTCAAGTAGCTCAGGTTTGGTGAATACCCTTTCCATAGCTCGTATGGTGTCTTATCTAGCCTTTTGTGAGAGACCCTGTTAAGAATAAAACATGCAGAAAGTGCAGCTTCCCTACACATATCATCAGATAAACCAGAACTTAATAGCATGACATTTATCATTTCTTTTAAAGTTCTATTTTTCCGTTCAGCTATTCCATTCTGTTGAGGTGAATATGGAGCAGTAAATTCATGTATAATTCCACTTGATTCACAAAAATCTCTAAGCGAAAAACTATATTCACCACCCCTATTTGATCTTATCCTTTTTATTTTCCTGTCTAATTGGTTTTCTACTTTAGCTTTGAATTTCAAAAACATACTACTAGCTTCATCTTTAGATTTTAGGAGATATATTTTCGTATATCGAGAAAAATCATCAACAAAAGAAATATAGTATTTTTTTTCCACCTGTGCTAGTTGTTTTTGTGAAATCAGCTAAATCAGAATGAATTAATTCTAGGAGTTTAGTACACCTTGTAGTGACATGTTTAAAAGGTTTTTTAGCAAACTTTTCTTTTACACAGACATGACACTTTGTAGTTTCAGGCAGATCAGAAGCATTAATTAAATTTAGAGTCCTAAGCCTTTTAATTGATGCAATGTTCACATGCCCTAATCTACCATGCCACACATAAAGAGACTCAACGATGTAAGTGGAACTAGAATTAATTTCATTTGAAGAAGTAGTGTTGAGAACAAACAAACCATCTGCTAAAATAGGCCTTACCAACAAATTCACCATTTTTGGTGATAATAACCTTGTTGGCCTCAAACACAATCCTAAGTCCGGCTCGGTTCAGTAGACCTCCTGACACCAGGTTCCTACACAGGGAAGGAACATACAACACATTACTTAATGATAAAGTTTTGCCAGATGTGAGTTTCAAGAGAACCTTCCCTTTTCCAAGTACTCCAGCTCTGGCAGAGTTTCCCATGAAAACACATTCACTGTCTGCAGAGTCCTGGAAGTCATGGAAAAGGTCACGGAAAAGCAGTGAGAATGTAGTCGATCTCCAACTGCTCAAAGAAGATCAATAACTTCTGTGACCATCGGCGATAGTTGGATCAGTCGAGTGGTTCCAATTTTGACAAGTCCGGCAGGACCTTCCCAGATCGGATAGCAGCCATTAGTAGTATCTTGCTTTCAACTGTTGGAAAAGAAAGGACAAAATTAGAACCAGAAGGTAAAAACGTTGTGCCGTGGGCGGAACCACTGCCTTGAAAGCAAGATCGGCACGACCTCGGTGCTAAATCGTTTTACTGCCGGTATGCTCCCCAAGGTTAACACAACCTC